ATGTCCCAGGCCAGGTTGGACATGAAAAGTGTCCTTGCCCACGTCAGGGGGTGGAACAAGATGAGCTTTAAGGTCCCATCTAACCCAAACCAGCCTGGGATGTCTCAGCTGCAGATCCAGAGGAGGAGAAGTTGCTCAGAGGATGGGAGAGGAAGGGTGGCTTGACCACAGCAACTCTGAAAGTCAAGTGAGTGAGACTAAACACTTCTCAGAAATCTCAAGGATGTGTGGGAGGGAACACCTGGACCAACACCAGCTTCCCGGAGATGCTGGAAACCCACAGCCAGCCCCTGTAATTGAGCATTTAAATGGGGTTAAGGGGACAGCAGAAGACAAAGGACACAGAGCATGAGGACACAGCCATCAATCAATCCTCGATGAAATGATGGAGTGCTCTAATTTGGGTTGTATATTAAGAAAGGCCAATAGGACAGAAATACAATTACTATCCAGAAACACCATTTGGCAGAGGTAGATCCTTTCAACTTACCTATCATCTTGTCTCAACATGGTTACAGGTTGAGTTGATAGGTGAACTCTGCTGATAAAATAAAATCACATTTTTTCTGGGCATATGATTTATTATGGGGTAACATTTTGATTTAAAATGTGTAACATATTGCATTAACCAGGCATCTAGTCAATGAATTAAAGACCAACTCAGTGACAGATCTTTGTTGGCAAGGGTCTCTGGACTGAGTTTTGGTCATTGCTTTTTTCAGCTGTTTTGGAAATGATGCAGCACCTCCCTTGGGAATGCAGGAAGCAAAAGGCAGAGAGGATAGGGGGTTTGTCAGCCCCCTGGACTTTGGAGTCACCCTAATCCTAGGTCTGCTTACCGTCCTCTTTCCTTGGATATCCTCCCCTGAGCCTCAGCTCCAGGCCAGGGCAGCTGCCACAGGACTCCTGAAAGGATACTCAAAGGAACATGGATGAGAAGCCCCCTCCTCACTGCCCACTGTGTTCCCCATGGGGAGGCCTGGGTGGTCCCCAGGGTTCCAAGGATGTTCACCTGCTACAGTCACTGTGGCACGTCCCATGCCCATGTGATGGGGCTTGGAGACTGGTGGCATTTTGGGGATCTTTTTCAGCAGAGCTGAATGTGCACCCCTGGACTCATTCCCTGCACTCAGTGATAGGAGGTGCTGGTGTTTCACCTTGAGGCCACACTCAGTTCCTGGGGTTGCCCAAATCTGGCTGGTGCAAGACACAGCAGGGAACTGAGGGCATCATCAGTGCCAGACACCCTCATCTTTTTCCACTCTACTCTAGACACCAGGTCCCCAAAGCACTGAAGTGAGAGCAGCGGGAAGGAGATTGTTGGACCACAGACTATCCTGAGCTGGAAGAAACCCCCAGGGATAATCAGTCCCACTCCTGGCCCTGCACAGACACTCCAGCAATCCCATCCTGAGCTTCAGAGCATTGGCCAAACACTCCTGGAGCTCTGGCAGCCTCGGGGCCATGCCTGTTCCCTGGGGAGAAGAACCCTCTGGGGGAAGAACCTTTCCCTAATATCCAACCAAAATACTCGAGGCCCAGCTGAGCCACACAGGCACTGATGATACTTTTGCTGGATCCTGCTCCATCCAAGTGCAGTGCCAAGGTGGGCATCTGGAGGGGTCAGCACCCAGCAGCACCATGACAAAGTGACAGACACGCTGCCCGTCAGCCAGAGCAGAAGCCTCCAAGGGTGATCTCCTGCCCTGAGCATCCCTTGGGTGGCTGTGACACCTGGTACTCCCATCACCTGTCCCCTCCTGCCATCTCAGCAGCCTGTGGGCATCCTCCAGTCGTGTTGCTTTGTTCCAAGTCACCACCAGCCCCTGCTGCTGGGCCAGGCTGGGCACCCAGTGGTGCTGCACTCTCCCTGACCAAGCTGTTTCCAGTAAAGCATGAGTCAAGCATGGAAAGGGGAACAAGTTTCTTTCTCTTAGAGAGAAAGTGAAACTCATCACATCCGTTCTCCAACCAGGCAAACTGCACTGCATGCAAGTTCATCCTTTCCACCCCTCTCTTCTTCCTCCCTACTCCCAGAGAAGAGCTTCCAGCAAGCAGAGCTGCTCACACTGCCCTGTCTTCAGCCTCTGCACCAAGGTAATTCACCACAAACAGCTGGGGACACTCTCCTCTTCTGCCACCACTTTCCAGTCCTTGCTCCCTGTCCTCCTTTGTTCTTCACTTCCCCTTCCACAAGGGTTTAAAGTAGAAAAACAGTGAGAAAATTATGTGGGGGGAAGAGGAATCTGCAGGGATCTGTCCTTGCTCTGTGTGATTGTGGACACCGCTGGGCTCTGCAGACTTGTCCCAGGCTGAGAACCTCAGACTTTGGGATAGATCCATGTCCTCTCTCCCAGCTCTGCATGTTGGAGGTTTGGGTATCATTTGCCCTTTTTCCCTTTCCCCTTTAGCACTGTTGTGTCTTTGCATCTTTTTCTCCCTTGTGCTCTCTATCCCATGGGGCCACTGCCCCACACAGCAGTGCTTCTCCCCCCAAACTGGAATAAACATCCTCTACAGGCATCTGAGGTGCCCCTACCCATGCCCAGGACATGCAGGAAAGAGTATATGCCATGCTGCATGTCCTGGGCTTTCCAATCCCAGAGCTCTGCCATGGGCATGCTGGAGATTTTCAGTGCCATCAGTGATTTCGGATCACACAGCCTCAAAACCCTTCCCTGCATGTGGTGTCTGGTTATCCATGCTGGACAATTCAGTAGATCTGTGGATGCATCTGATGAGGGCACCTGCGTATCTGGGTTTGCCTCCATCCCCAATTCATCCCTGTGCTGTAGGAAGCAGGATGCACCCTGGATTCTGGCTGGCAGCCAGCGTCCTGGCAGCAGTGCTGGGCATGGCCCTGCTGGAGGACGGAGTCTGTAGGGCACCAGATGGCAAGAATGGCTCCCCTGGAGTCCCTGGCCGGGATGGGAGGCCAGGGCAGAAGGGTGACATGGGAGAGCCAGGTAAGAGGAAGCTGGGGATGTTGGGGGCCTGGAGCCTCTTGGTCAGAGCATCCCAGGCTGTGGGAGCAGCTCAGGAGATGCCAGATGGGCATGAACTCCTTCTCCTCCCCTCTTGTCCCCAGGGAGAGCAGCACTGAGCTTGAGCATCAAGGGATCCAAAGGGGATGCAGGCGAACCAGGGTATCCTGGCCCACCAGGCATGCGTGGCCCACCTGGCCGGCCAGGCCCTCCGGGGATGCCAGGGCTGCCAGGGCCACCGGGGCAGAAAGGGCAAGCTGGCAATGCTTTGGAGCACCCGCGTCCCGCTTTCTCCGCCTCCAGGCTGGCCCCGCCACGCGCAGGCACCACGGTGGTGTTCGACAGGATCATCACCAACGAGGAGAACTCCTACAACCCCCAGACCGGGAAGTTCACCTGCAGCATTCCCGGGCTCTATTACTTCAGCTTCCAGGTGGTGTCCAGCGGAGACCTGTGTCTGAGCATCACCAAGAACGGGCAGGGCGTGGTCAGCTTCTGCGACAACAACAGCCGCGGCATCCTGCAGGTGAACTCAGGCAGCAGCGTGCTCAGCCTGGCCAAGGGTGACCACGTGTCCCTGACCACCAACCCTGCCCAGGGCAGCTCCATTTACAGCGGCTCCGAGGCTGACAGCGTCTTCAGCGGGTTCCTGGTGTCCCCAGAGACAGCCTGAGGGATTCCCACAGCATCGTGGGGTGTCTGCCTGCCTGGCTGCTCCCCTCTGGGTGTGTGGGAGGCTTTAGTGCCACAGCACATGGGGATGGTTGCAGGCTGAGCATCCAGAAGTGTTCTGTGCTTTCCCAGTGTCACAACTGGCCAAGCTGTGGGTCACCACTGCAGCACTCACTTCCATGCTGAGCCTGCCTGCACTGTCCTGGAGGCTGTGCACTCTCATCCCTTTCTCTTCCTGGGCGCTCAAGCTCCACTCCCAGTTGTCACCAGCTGTGGCTCTTTGCTCCTGAGTGGGAAATCACTGCCTGCTGCTTCTTCTGCTCCACTAACCACTGCAAAAGCCTTCCTGGCACTGGGACACATCCTGTCACAACCTCCCCATCAGTATAAATAAATGCTTCTTCTACCACTACTCTTTGGGTTTTCTTTTCTACTCATGCATCTTCCCTGAATCATCAATATCCTGGACCCCTTCCCAAGCTGCCAGGGAGGGAAGTGATTCCAGCTTGTCCCTGGCATTGCAAATGCAGAAGAACAGGGAGGAATGGACTGTCCAATCAGAGCTTACATTTCCAGGGAAGAATAAGAAACATCTGGGACAGGGCTATGTGTGTCCTTCTCTGCTGAGCCCAAGGCTACTGTCCTGCAGGGGAAAACACAGGCAGCAGATCCTGTACCTCACCCGCAGGGTCCCAAGTTGGCACCCAGACTCTCCCAGGAAGGCAGAAGGCAGCTGTGGTCCTTTGGCATTACAGCAAGGAGGGACAGGGACATTGGGACACGGATGGGGTTGTGGGGTGATGGTGGTGGAGCTGCCATCAGATGCCATCCCCTGGGACTGCTCCTCATGGGAGCTGCTCCACAAACACTGGGCACTCAAATATCCCCCTTCCTGGAGCAATGAGGAGGAGGCTCCGTCACCTGCAGGGTGCAACACCCCAGTGAGGGATCTTGGGGCCTCACTGAGTCCAGCACCCAGCAGAACCTAGTGGGGCATGGGGAAGGGTGCAGATCAGAAACTCTCAAAGGGAAGCATCTTCCAGTCCCATTTAGGGGTGCAGCATCTTCCATGAGAGCCAGGCAGTGACTGTGCAGCAGCCCCTCAGTGCCACAGGCATCTCCAGCCCACTGGAGCTGGCCTGAGGCTCTGCTCCCAAGCTGCCCTTCTGCTCAGAAAAAAGGGAAGTAAGAGGGAAAGCAGGGGATCTGGGGCAGGCTATTCCCTGCACTGGGGAGTTGTGCCACATCTCTTTGAGCTGTGCCCCACCTCTTTCCTTGCAGCCCTTCCTGTTGCAGTGGCACCAGTACAGGTTTCGCTGGAGAGCCAAGAAAGTGCTGTCTCAGCAGAAAGCATCAGGCAGGAGGATGTGAAATTTGGCTGGGAACTGCTCGGGTTCCGTGTTTACGAGGGCCCTTTACCCTTTCCTAACTCTGTGACTTCCTTCGTGAGGGTGTCGGGGAGCCGCGCCCACCGTGCTGTGCTGGCAGTGACCACGCACCCAGCAGGACCAGCAACCTGGCATCCCTTCCCTGTCCCCACCAGAGGTAAGAGGTGCTGCAGGGTCCCTCTCTCGAGGGTGGGACTGGGGGTCCAGGAGCATGGCACACTGCTGGAGAGGGCGAGAATGAGAGGAGGATGTGGAAGAGAGAGGAGGAGGAGGAGAGGACGAAGGCAGAGGCACTGATGGGCTGCGCGCATGTGGTGGAGACAGCTGATGGAAGAATTGATCCTGATGGACAGAGCTAGGACAGTCAGGCTGCTGCTGGAGGAGGAGGGAGGTCAGGTGTGTGCAGGGAGTTCCAGCCTCGGTGCAGCACGGGGTGACAGTCTGCAGTGGTGTGTGCATCTCCAGGGTTTGGGGACACTGCACGCAGAGGGCTGGGGGCTGGCCATGGGCTTGGGGCTGGCCACGGGTACCTCAGACCTCATGGCTCCATCCAGACTGAAAGTCCAACTCACACTGTGCCATCGGGGGCTGCCCTGGGGTTGGAGATGAGCCTGGGGCCCATCTCCACATATCCACCTCCCCACTGCCCTGCAGTGTGTATAGGTGGGACATTGAGGACACACGCAAGGCATCCAAGTGTTGTTGGTATATCCAGGCTCCTTTTCTCCATGTCCTGCAAGCCACGCTGCTGTGACCCCTCACTCCAGCCCTTTCTTTCACTTTCCATGCTACAGAACAGCAAAATGGAGAAGAGATTCTGGGAGCAGCTCTATCTGGCCCTCACCCTCCTCCTCCTGAATGTGGGCTCTGCTGTGACTGTAGAGGACCCTCACAGCTGCTATGGAGCTCCAGGCCTGCCAGGCATGCCGGGTATACCAGGCAGGGATGGCCGGGATGGACTGAAGGGAGCCAAAGGGGAGCCAGGTGAGTGAGCAAAGAGGGAAACCACATGGGCTCTTGCAGGGCTGCACTGAGTCCTCAATGGCTGGTCTGCCTGGGTTTGCAGGATGTGGAGAGCATCCTCTGTAGTCAGGTGGAAGAGGCAACAGCACTCTCCTGCCTAAGGGGAAGGGGCTAGAGAAGCCTCTCCCCACATCCTGCCATTGACACTCCCTTTCACTCCCCACCATCCCACAGGTATCCCAGCTTCTACAGAGCTAGGGCCCAAGGGCATGAAAGGGTCACCAGGCCCCCCTGGCCCTCCAGGCAAGCCTGGCCCCCCTGGGGCCCCTGGTCCAATGGGAATCCCTGGGGTGGCAGGCCATGCCGGCCCCCCGGGAATGCCAGGCACCTCCATGCAGAAGCTGCAGTCAGCATTCTCAGTGACCAGGCAGACCAGCCAGTACCCCTTGAAGAACGTCCCCGTGGTTTTCAACAATGTCATCACCAACACCAACGACGACTACAACATTGCCACGGGCAAGTTCACCTGCAGGCTCCCCGGGGTCTACTACTTCGTCTTCCACAGCTCCCACACAGCCAACCTCTGCGTCATCCTGCACAAAAATGAGAGGAGGATGGCCAGCTTCTGCGACCACAAGACCAACGCGGTGCAGGTCAGCTCAGGGGGGACGCTGCTCCACCTGGCTGCTGCCGACGAGGTCTGGCTGGGAGTGAACGACTACAATGGCATGGTGGGCATTGCCAACTCCGACAGCATCTTCTCAGGCTTCCTGCTCTTCCCAGACTAGAGCATCAGCAGAGCTCACCCCAGCACCCCAGCGCCTTCTACCTGCCCTGAACTCACTGCTCACTGCTGGGCTCCTCCTGACGCTCCCAGTTTCTCTGAAGGGAGGGCATCAAGTCCAGCAGCCAGACCCCCCCTCAGTCTGGGGGCTAAGCCCTGGTAGCTGCTGCACAGGGGGAACAGGAACATCTGCAACATCTGCCCCCAGAGTGATGGTGCTGAGCTCCTGGTCCTGCTGGCACTGCCATGTGCATCCCCCCTGCTAACCCCACATTGCCTCAGAGGTCTCCCTGCATTTTTCCCCTCCCCACCTGGGCTGCCTCAGGTTCAGCAGGTTGCAGCAGCCCCTTTGCCGTGACCTGGCTGTGTAAAGTGTCAATAAAATGTTCCCCAGTGCACCTGGTGTAGTGTGTTGTTTCCTCCATGTGGTGTGCACAAATGTGCACGTGACATCTGGCCATCTGTGTGGCATCAGCATGTCCCCAAGGCTCACCAGCATCAGAGACCACCACACCCCACCCACACCTGGCTTTGCACAGGGAATGGGACCCCTGGCTGCTGCAGGAACTGGATGGTTCCTATGTCCCCACACAGCCCCTATCAAGAGGGCACCAAGACTCGTCCAAGCAGGACCCTGATATTCCCCTTCTCTCCAAAGCTCTACAGGGGCACAGACTGCAAAAGAAACCCCAACACCATAGCTGGGACATCCCTGGGGTCCCTACCAGGATGGGGCAGGGGAAGCACTCTGGCTTTCCTGTGCCAAACCAAAGGAGCTGGTGGTTGTGGAGGACACAGAGCCCACCAAAACCCAGCAGGGATTTCTTCTGGTGTCACACATTGAAGGGTGGAACAAGGCAGTCTCCTTTCCAAACGTCTTGTACTTCACTTCCACAAGGCAGTAGCCAAAGCAGGGAATGCTTTTCCCACAGGGCAGAATCACTTCCCATGCACAGAATTTAGAGGGGCACGGACTCAAGGTGATGGATGCTGAGACCCTGCAGCCTCCCCTGGGCCTGCAGAGCTGGAAGCACGTGGAGCAGCCTGAGGGGTGCTGCCTGAGGGGTGCTGCTGCATGCACATTTCTGCAGCTCTGTTGGGTTACCTTAAACTCATCTGGAGCTCCAAAGAGTATTGCTCATAGCAAACACCCCTGAGCAGGACCCAGGGATCCTGCAGGGCAGAGCAGTGGCTGGAGGGGCTCAGGGTGCTATTTGGGGATGGCTTGTCCTGCTCAGCTGACAACAGCATTTGTGGAGGATCTGAAACTGCCACAGAAAAAGGACAGGAGCTAAAGATAAAAAGGGGATGTGTCCCAGATCCTTTCACAATAGCCCTTGCAGGAAACTTCTGCTTCTCTTCTCGGGCATTTCTGAGCAGGACACTGGGGTGTCCTGTTCCATCTCCCCACCTGATGAACAGGACGCTCAAGGTAAGCGCAAGACTGAGCCCAAGGTTTCCCCACAGGCAAGAGCACGTGGGGGACCCAACTCTGGCAGGGTGACAGTCACCTGCATTGCTGGCACTTCCCTGTGGCCTGGGGCAGAGAGAAACTGGGGGTGGAGGTGCTGGGCTGGGGGTGGTGGAGGGCCCTGATGGGACCCTGACCCCTCCTGCTCCACCTGGAAGAAGGAAAACATAAAAGCAGAGATGGCAGATTTCCAGAAGGTTATCAGGGACTGAAAGGTGCATCAGTCTGAAAGGTGCCCTGGGAGTGTTCTCCTGCCCTGAGAAGCTCTTGTCTTCTGATGGCTGGGAGCCTGTGGATCAGTCTTTTTTCCTGCTGCACCCAATTCAGAACGGCTGTGGCTGAAGGATCCAACTCACCAATCTTTTGTCCTGCTGGCACCAGAGTTTCAGCACTGGGAAAATCCACCTGGGATGGGGGAGTTGTGGCTGGGGTGCTGTGATGTCCAGATCCAGCCCCCAAATGCCCAGTGCTTATCCACATGCACCCACACCAGGATCTGGGGTAAGGAGTTGGGCAGGAAGGGCAGGAGGAAGGTCAGACCCCAGGCATGGAAGCCCAGGTAACTGTCCCATGAGGCTTGTTAGATACAGAAATGCCTCTGGCATTGAGCAGCTGTGTGACAGGTCACAAGGGGAACCTGTGGGATGGAGGAGGGAGGTTTGGGGGCTCATTGCCATCTTCAAGGACTGGCACTGTCCCTCAGACGTGCTGGTGGAAGGCATGGCCTGTTCCTTGCAGATGACAAAACTGCTGTGGTTGGGTAAGGGTTTTGCCCGCAAGTATGGTCCTGAGATGAGATGGGGAATTTCTCCTGCAAGGCAGCAGCATGGCCACATTGGACGTCAGATCTCTGAGATAACCTGTCCCAAATATTCATGTGGCTGAAGCTGTGGGCATTTGGAAACTGGGGATTTAAGAATGACAAGAGACTGCAAACCCTGCCTGGCCCAGGGGTTATGGTTCTTTGCTCCAGGGCCAGCAGGAGAGTGAATTTGGCTCTGCAGTAGGATGTTTTCCCTCCCTGATTGTATTACCTAGACTTGCTTGCAGTCACCATCTTTCAGAGCAGCTCAGAGTGCCTTCCCCAGCCCTCCCACCGCCCAGAAAAGCCCCCAACACCGTTCCATGCTCCCACAGATGTGGATCATGTGGGCTATGCTGCTCTGCCTGGCTGGAGGGCAGCCTGCCAGTGCCACACTCTGCAGGACCTATGGCACCATCCCAGGCATCCCAGGATTACCAGGACAGCCTGGCAGCGATGGCAGGGATGGGGAGAACGGCCCAAAGGGTGAGCAAGGTAAGGAAGAGGCTGCAGGTGGGTAAAACACTGTCTTGTGACTGCCAAGAGCAGAAAAAGATAGTGCCAGGCACATGGTCCTGGGAAAGCAACCCATTTCCACCAGTTCTTTGAGGTCTTGTCAGGTGGGGATGATGGAGCACCCCAAGGAACCTGGGGAAGGAGGGGGATGACAGCAAGGTGTGTCCCACCTGCCTGTTGGGCAGGGTCTCCATTGGCCCACACCCAGCACAGGTTTCCTTGCTGGTGCTCCCTCTCTGCAGACAAATGGGGCTTGGCTGTGACCACAATGACTCTTCCTCTTTCCTAGGACCCTCTGGCCAGAGTGAAGAATGGAGAGGGGAGTGGGGAGTCCCAGGAGCACCGGGACAGCCTGGGAAGGTCGGTCCCATTGGCATGCCAGGTATAGAGGGCTTACCAGGTATCGTGGGACCGCCTGGCCCTGTGGGAGAACCTGGTGACTACAAGGTCACCTTCAAGTCCGGGTTCTCGGCTGCCAGGATCATGAGCTCCTACCCGCGCCGGGAGCAGCCCATCCGCTTCGAGCGCGTGCTCACCAACGAGCAGGGCCACTACGAGAACCGCTATGGCCGCTTCACCTGCCGCGTGCCTGGCACCTACTACTTCACCTACCACGTCACCTCCCGCGGCAACCTGTGCCTCAACATCAAAAAGGGCCAGGGTGGCAGCAGGGGCGAGAGGGTGGTCACCTTCTGTGACTACGTGCATAACAGTTTCCAGGTCACCACGGGTGGCGTGGTCCTCAAGATGGCCATGAATGAGTCTGTCTGGCTGGAACCAACAGAGAAGAACTCCTTGGTGGGGCTGGAAGGGTCTGACAGCATCTTCTCTGGCTTCATCATCTTCCCTGAGGCTTAGCCCACTGGAGATGTGTCTGTGGCCAATCTCTGCAGTCCCTGCAGTGCTGAGGACTCCCCTGGAAACTCTTTGCTCCCAAACTGGTGCTTGAAGCACACTGCTGCCATTCTTGCACAATAAATGACAGTTCTTTGCACTATTGGTCCCTTTCTGGATGGGATTTGCCTTTTTCCTCACAAATAATTTTCACACAATCAGGGTACTGGTTCTTGCCCTCTTGGGTGCAGCCCAGGCTCATTAGCATCTCATTGCTGCTGAGAACAGCCAGACAAGTCATGCAGCTCCTGCTGCAGACCAGGGCAAGTATCTCTGTCCAGAGCCACCCAAAGGGTCCCAGCCCATGGTTAGGAAAACATGGAGAGGCAGCTCAGCCTTTAGCAGGGGGCAGGGCAATAACAGAGTGGGAAAACTGGGGCCACTGGATGCTGGTGGTAGGTGGGGAGATGCTGGAGGTGGTGCTGTACTGGAGAGTCCTGGTAGTGGCAGGATCTGGGGACACCAACCTCTCTCAGACTTTTTTTGGGGGGTGGTGGTAGTGACAGAAGTACCCACAGAAGATTGTCAAAGCTTGTGACAAGGCAGGGTAGGTCAGCATGGGCCAAACAACTAGATGCTGTGATGGGGGTGGTGTGGAGGAGACCCCCACTACAGCCTCCAAACCCCAGCACAGAACTGTTCTCCACGTCCTGGAGCACAGCCAAGCCCTCCCAGCCTGCTCCTTTCAACAGCAGAGCTGTGGACCCAGGAATTATCAGATGAATTAAAGCTGAGGAGCCCGGGGACAGCCCTGGCCCTGGGGCAGGTGACAACCTGTGTGGGTGGGCTGCCTGCAGCCCCCAGCCCATCTCGTGGGCCTGGACAGGAACATTCAGGAATTTTTGTGGAAGTGTGGGATTTGAAAGGGTCTGGATGGAAAGGATGATGATAAAAGGTCTTGGGGAGGTGAGTGTGCCATGGGCAGATTTCATGGAGCGTCACCCCTGAGGTCTCCAGGTTGGTTGTTGTCACAGACATCTTTTGTGAAAAAACCTTTCTTGGGATTTTTCTCCCTTCTGAGAAGCTGTAGCCTCAGCAACAAAGTGTAAACAATGGTTATCTGCTGCTGTGGAATGCAACAGGTGGATCCATGATTGGTCTCCTGTGGATGCTTGGATTTACTGACCACTCACGGCAGAGATGTTCTCGCTCTCTGCTGAGACACAGACCTTTGTTATAATTCTTTTCTATTCTTAGCTTAGCTAGCCTTCTGAGAACTTTTCTTCTATTTCTTTTAGTATAGTTATAATGTAGTCTATATATCACAAAATAATAAATCAAGCCTTCTGAACATGAAGTCAACATTCTCGCCTCTCTCTTCATCATGCAACCCTTGTGACCACTGTCACAGTTTGTGAGTCCGGGCCCCCAGCTCTGGGCTGCTCGGGTGTCAGCGCAGGACAGTGCCCGAGGCTGTTGTGACCGGCTCGAGGGCTCCTGTCTGGGGCCATTTGCCGGCAGGTGGCACTGGAGACTGGCTCAGCCCTCGCCTGGCAGGGACAGCATCCTCGGGCACAGCTGCGAGCCACGGGCAGAGCCCGCGAGGGCTGGCAGGAGGCAGGGACAGGACTAGCCCGGTTCATTCTTCCCCTTCCCCTTCCCCTTCTTCTTCTTCTTCTTCTTCTTCTTCTCCTCCTCCTCCTCCTCCTCACCTCGCAGCTTTATCCTTCCTGCAGCAGAATCTGTGCCTTCTGTCCCCGGGTGCAGCAAAGCGTGTCCCCAGGCTCTGCTGCTCTCAGAAGATCCGAGCACACGTGTTGGGTGTTGTGTTTTGAGGTTCCCCTGTGCCAGAGCACTGGATGGCCTTTACAGTGCAGCCCCCAAATCCAGGTGTTTCACAGCTGGAGATGCAGCATCACAAATAAAACTGAGCTGGGCAAGGCAAGTGGGGGAAAAGAGCGGGTGTTTGACACCCAAAAGAGGGCTGGGAGCATACACTGCCTGAGCCTCCTGAGCCCTCAGCAGGTAGGAGACACTGTACCAAGGAACAGAGATACACTGGAGGTCAGGGCTGCCATTCCAAGAGCCCTGAAGGCTGGGAAATGAGCTGGCAGAAGCCCACTGATATTTGATGGAGACAAATGCAAAGTTCTTTTTCTGGCATGGGACAATCCCATGTCAGAGGACAGGCACTGGCAGCAGAAAACTCTGTAAGAAGGGACCTGGGTTGTTGTTAGCCACCAAGGTGAAGCTTTCTGCCTTTCCAGGTAATGGATATAATAATTTTTGATTTTTGAAAAGGTGTAAGGACAAAAGCTGATTATTTTAAAAAGAGATGTCTGACCACTATGAGCCAAAAGGGTTCTGAGGGCTTGGCTGTGCCTGGGGTAAGTCAGAGGGCAGTGCAGGTACCAGCAGCTGCAAGTGCAGCTCACGGTGCTCACACAGCTGGGAAACAGAGGTGCAGAGGAAATTGCTGCCCAGAGATGCAGAGGGACCTGCTTCCCAAAGATGCAGAGGGAATTGCTGCCCACAGGTGCAGAGGGCATCGTTTCCTCCCATGGGTCTCAGCCAGCACCCAGCGATGCCACCTCTGGCAGTGGCCCCATTAGATGGCAGCTCCCCTGAGGCTGCCACTAGACTCACACCCCCTGGGTATCCAAAATGGATGAGGACAGGGGCCCAGAGGGTGCTGGAGCTGTTGTTGGTCCATACAACACCACCCTTCAGTCCTTCCCAGGCAGTTCAAGGGGGGCAGCACGTATCTGACCCTGTAGGGAGCCCCAAAGCCGCAGCCTGCACCCCCTCAGCTGGAGAGGTCCCTTCCTCTGAAGCTGTTAGAGCACTCACTGAGGCCAGAGGCAGAGTGTCCCTTGCCATGGCTCCTGCACAGGAGCTGGCATTGCTTCCCCTGTGTGCAGCAATCAGTCCCTGCCGAGCCCCTGTGCTGCTCAGGGCACAGTGGGAAAACACAAACGCACCTGGGTTGGTGCTGAGCTGCCAGTCCCACCTGTCCTGCCTGCTGTTCCCAGAGCAGCAGGACCAGCCTTGCCCTGCTCCTGAATCTCCTGCCCTGCTCTTTGCTCTGGGATGCATTATTCCATGGAAACAGGGCAATCTTGGAACAACACAACATTAACAGGAGAGCTGGAGAGAAACTGTGTGAGGGCAGGTGCTGTCGGTGGTAAGGGTGGGCCAGGGCAGCCCCACGGCCACTGGCACTCAGAAAAGGGCCAATTTGTATAATTAATTAATTCCTTACACCTTCCCCATGGGTGCCTGAGCCCAGGGCTTCAACCTGGCATGGCTGCATGGGGGAATAAACCTGCAGGGTCTGTCCCCACCCTGGGGCTCTGGGCACGCTCCTGCTTGTGCTCTGTGTGTGCACACCCAGCCCTGTGTGGTCCCCCCGTCCCTGCACACTCCCTGTGCTCTGTGTGTGCTCCGAGCTGTCCCCTGACACGTTCTGCTCCTTGTCACTCCCTTTGGGGTTTCCTTTCAAGGCAGCTGCAGTCCCTCCCCAGGGCCCAGCCCCAGCCCTTCCTCACCAGGGTGCTGTGACCCTCAGGCCACCACCAGGGCAGGGCTGAGGCCCCAGCAGGTGCTGAGGCTGGGGCAGGAGGTGTTTCCAGGTGACTTCAGGAGCTTTGTGGATGTCAGTGTTTTGCCAAGAAGCGTGGGGGGCTTTGTTGGTGTTGGAGGCCCCTTGAGCGGGACAGGGAGGGAACCAGGAGCACAGCTGTGGGCAAAGGCATCAGCAGAGCTCTCAGGGAGTTAAAATCTCCCTGCTCCCTGGCACAGAGCAATAGGAGCCAGCAAGAAAATCACATGGAGGATTCTCCTGCGTTATCTAACTGGGGTTTGGAGGTTTTCCCTGTGCCAAAGCTCCAGTCTTGGCATAAGCAGGACTCTGACAGAATCCAGTGTGGAAATCGGTGTGCCTGTCAGCATTCATGGAGACGAAGCTGGGCTGGAGGAATCAAAGCACAGCCATGCTGTTTGTCAGTGGGATGGGGTTGCAGCAGGCCATTTGTCTCGGTGCAGGGAAGGCTCGAGACTTCCAATATGAGTGTTCAGCAAGCTCTGTTTATTGAAGAGAGCATCAGACACGTATACAGCAAGCAATAAGCTCATGAATATTCTATAATTTACACTGTCTATTAGCTACACTACAACATCAGCTCTTTTTCATTCTTTAAAAGTTACATCTCTCTTTTCTCATATCTCTTTCACTATTTGTTATCGTACTCCAGCTAAGCTCAAAGACACGCTATCTTGCAAGTGCAAGACTTAGAATTAGCCACAGCCTTATACTTTTCTAATTCTTAGTTACTCTCCCAACAGGATGGAGCCAGGGATGTCAGTGCCATGGTGTGGTCTAACATCACCAGCAAACGTGATGGAGATTGCAGAAGTGTTGCTGTGTTTGCACTGAGCCCAGGAGTTCCCAGTACCTGCTATAACAAAGGAAGAGCCCTTCCTACACCATCCTTGTTTGGTTTTGGTCCTTGCTGGCAGGACCAGCCACAGCCAGGCAGCCCCACAGGGCCTTCTGGGTCAGCTTCCCATGCCAGCCCCTCCAAACAGCTCCTGTGCCATGGAGCTGGTGCCACTGCTCCTCAGTGCAGGGAGGCTCTGCCCTTCCCTGCAGCTCCCTCCTGAACAGCCCTGAGTGCTTCCTTCCCTTCAGTTCTGCTGCCAGGCTGTGGCTGCTCTCCACCATCTCCTCTGCCCTTGGGCCAGGTTGTGGAGTGAAATATTGGGGGGTTTTTTTTGTGTGTTCTTCCTTCCCTCCCCTTCTCCAAACCATAATATCAATCAGGAGCTATCTGGGAATCCCTGTGTGGGTTCAGTGCTGTGCCAAGGTGCTGGAATGCTCTGGGCAGAGGCATTGCTGGGACAGGGCACTGGGTTGTGCCTGCTGGGATGTCACAGGCATCACAGCAGGACACAGCAGCTTTGGTGGCCACTGAGGTCACACAGGTGACAGGAGCTCCCTGCTTGGGTCCCGTTGGGTGCACTGGTTCCACTGGAGGGTGGTCCCAGCCCCAGGGAGACTCCTGGAGAGTTTGATACAGCAGAAACCAGTCTGGGATAGGGAAGGGAGATCAGACATCAGCTCCCACCCCAAATCTCACTTCAGGGCTGTTAAGTTTGTTC